CTAGCTTTGTAGGTGCTCATCATATGCAGGGCGGAGGCTGCCTGTCCCGCCGCTCTACAGAATCGCGCCGCCATAGACGACGAGAACCCATAGGCTTTGGAGGGGCATCTGAGAGCAACCGCCGGTTGACCGGGGGAGCCCCAGCGTACCCACAGACAGCCGCATCGCCGAGGGGAGGAAGGGCGGGGAACTAAGCACGCTTTTTTTTTTTTTTTTTTTTTTTTTTTTTTTTAGTGCGTGTCAGTTCCGCATGCAACTCGGGGAAAAAAGGAAATTGGGGTTGGCCGTGGCCGTAAGGCGGCAGCGTTACCCAAAAACCAATTATTCAGCCGCGAGAGATCGGGGAGGGGCGGAGTTCCACCCCCACCCGATGCTCACGGACGCCCGAGATAGCACGGCCATCATCGCGGGATCAGACACGGCGGCGCTGACGCTCCCGAGGGAGGCAACGCGGCCGCATCCTCACTTCCCGAGGAGTCAAGCCCGCCTAGTGATGCTGTGATCGACATCGCATCATCATCTGGAGCGCTGCCCGAAGCAGCCGGTGCCACCGAAGAAGCAACCGACTGAATCGAACTAACGCTCGCTGGCTCTCGCACTGAGGCGGGAGGTGTGGCCCGAGGAATCGTCGGGGCTTATCCCACACCATCACCGTAAATCACCAGGTCCCCGGGTCGACGGGCCCCCTATGGAGGAAACCGATCGAGCGGGGGGGACCGGGACTCTCACTCAAGTGAGATCATTGAGTCTCGACCTCAGTGTAGAGATGGTCATGTTCCCACAGAAGGAAAATGAGTCATCCACGAACGCTGCTGCTGCATGCTGAAATGCCCAGGCATACAAAGCAGCGATCGTGACCATCAGATGACGACAGAAATCAATCACACCCAGAAGAGCACGGGCGAACCGTCTTTAAAAAGACGTGCGCGTGCAGCTCTTTCAATGAGAGGAGGAAATTCACTCTTTCAGCGCTGAAGCGACCAGGGAGAAGCGCAAAGTCTGGCAGACCACTGCTCAGATCGCAGGCGATGCAGAATCTCGCTGGGTACCGCCGTCACACCAACACTGAAGAGGACGCTCGTCTCGAAGAGTCTTGAACAGTGCTTTCAGGAGTGAAGAGGTTCTCTTGGCTCCGAAGCGAAAACATACTGCGGTTGCGTTCACTTCCTCCTTTTATACTCACGGAGTAGGGCGGAGTACGCTATGCAAATTTCCGCAGCCCCAAGGCATTGCATGCCATTGGCTCGTGTTTTTAATACTCGAAGAGGATTGGCTTTCTATGCGAAACCCCCAATCTCCGTCACTTCTGACGTAACTCGAAGTGACTACGAAAGGAACCAGATGTTTTGAAAGATTGGGGAAAATTAATTTTCACCCCCCCCCAAAAAAAAACGTAAGGCGTTACCACTGTCGTTTTTTTTTTCGGGGTCGAAATTTTGGTTTCGATATCTCAGCTCTGGAAGGTCTAGAGCCTCCATTTATGCACTCAGGTCTAAGTCTCATGCCCTCTATGAGAATCCAGAGTTTTGAGAATTGGGGAAACTTAATTTTTTGCCGGAAAAAAAAAAACGAAAAAGGTACCACTGTCGTTTTTTTTCGGGTCGAAATTTTGAGTTTCGATATCTCAACTCTGGAAGGGTCTAGAGCCTCCATTTTTGCACTCAGGTCTAAGTCTCATTGCCCTCTATGAGAATCCAGAGTTTTGATAAGATTGGAGATACTTTTTTTTCACCCTAAAAAAAAAAAAAACATAAGGGGTACCACTGTCGATTTTTTTTCGGGTCGAAATTTTGAGTTTCGATATCTCAGCTCTGGAAGGGTCTAGAGCCTCCATTTTTTCACTCAGGACTAAGTCTCATTGCCCTCTATCAGAATCCAGAGTTTTGAGAAGATTGGGGAAACTTAATTTATCGCCCCCCCCCCCAAAAAAAAAAAAAACGGTAAAGGTTACCACTGTCGATTTTTTTTTGGGTCGAAATTTTGAGTTTGATATCTCAGCTGTGGAAGGGTCTAGAGCCTCCATTTTTTTCACTCAGGACTAAGTCTCATTGCCCTCTATGAGAATCCAGAGTTTTGATAAGATTGGAGATACTTTTTTTTTTTCGCCAGAAAAAAAAAATACATAAGGGGTACCACTGTCGATTTTTTTTCTGGTCGAAATTTTGAGTTTCGATATCTCAGCTGTGGAAGGGTCTAAGAGCCTCCATTTTTGCACTCAGGTCTAAGTCTCATTGCCCTCTATTGAGAATCCAGAGTTTGATAAGATTGGAGATAACTTTTTTTTTCACCCTAAAAAAAAAAAACAATAAGAAAACGGGGTACCACTGTCGATTTTTTTTTCTGGTCAAAATTTTGAGTTTCGATATCTCAGCTCTGGAAGGTCTAGAGCCTCCATTTTTGCACTCAGTCTAAGTCTCATGCCCTCTATCAGAATCCAGAGTTTTGAGAAGATTGGGGAAACTTAATTTTTTGGCCCCCCAAAAAAAAAAAAACGAAAAGGGTAACACTGGTCGTTTTTTTTCGGGTCGAAATTTTGAGTTTCGATATCTCAACTCTGGAAGGGTCTAGAGCCTCATTTTTGCACTCAGGTCTAAGTCTCATTGCCCTCTATCAGAATCAGAGTTTGAGAAGATGGGGAAACTTAATTTTTCGCCCCCAAAAAAAACGTAAGGGGTACCACTGTCGTTTTTTTTTTTCGGGTCGAAATTTTGAGTTTCGATATCTCAGCTCTGGAAGGGTCTAGAGCTTCCATTTTTGCACATCAGGACTAAGTCTCATTGCCCTCTTCAGAATCCAGAGTTTTGAGAAGATTGGGGAAACTTAATTTTTCACCCCCCCAAAAAAACGTAAGGGGTACCACTGTCGTTTTTTTTTCGGGTCGAAATTTTGAGTTTCGATATCTCAGCTCTGGAAGGGTCTAGAGCTTCAATTTTTGCACTCAGGACTAAGTCTCATTGCCCTCTATCAGAATCCAGAGTTTTGAGAAGATTGGGGACACTTAATTTTTCGCCCCAGCAAAAAAAACGTAAGGAGTACCACTGTCGTTTTTTTTTCGGGTCGAAATTTTAAGTTTCGATATCTCAGCTCTGGAAGGGTCTAGAGCTTCCATTTTTGCACTCAGGACTAAGTCTCATTGCCCTCTATCAGAATCCAGAGTTTTGAGAAG